GAGAGAGAGAGAGAGAGAGAGAGAGAGAGAGAGAGAGAGAGAGAGAGAGAGAGAGAGAGAGAGACAGAGAGAGAGAGACAGAGACAGAGATGAGCGACATTGGGATTTGACGACACTGGGTTTCAGACTCAGCATCGGGATTCAGACCTTTGGCGAGGGATTATTTGGGACTGTATCGAAGACTTGGTGTTGACGACATTTCCATCTTCCCCCTCCCCTTCGTCTAATCCCCATCTTCTTCGTCTGTGCATGATCGGGGACTGACGCATTCTTCCTGTGTGAGTGTCAGCCCCCTTCACACCATGGAATGATGATGATGCATGTTTGGTCTGCATGGCAGCTTGATTGATCGGATCATTGGTATTTAAGCCTTCCGATGTGCTATCTTGTATCTGGTGAGAAAGGTCGGTTCTTGGTCTGGTCTGCAGCGTTAGGGTATGCAACACTAAGTGAAGGCGGCCCTAACAAATCACGAGAGGCCCCCAACTGTCAATTTTGTATTTTGGGTCCAGCCAGTTTCGTCGTGCCAGTTGGTTGAAGGAAATACAGGCCGAGCAGCGAGGAAAATTCCCAGGCCTTCTAGGCCTTTCCGGAAAACACAGGCCCTGGGCGAGATTCACAGCCTCATACACAGACAGTTAAGAGGCCCAACCGAATGAGGCCCAGTAGCTGCACCAAAGGCGCAACATCCTGGGGCCTACCGGAAGCTTCTGGGCCCAGGCCAGACCAGCCAGGCTGCCATACAAGGCAGGCTCTTTCCATATAGGAAGAGCTCGCTGCCTGGCGAGACATTCGGGCACTTGCTGGCTGGCAGCAGCGCTGCTGGAGCTCATGCTCGCGTGCTGGCTGCTAGCGCTGGAGCAAGGTGCTGCGCACGTGCGGTCGTGTGTGGAAGACGGGCGCTGCTGAGGGCAGCGCCATAGCCCAGCCTTCATAGCTGGCTGAGGGCTTGGATGTACAGTGAGGCGGAGGGGTGGTCTTCGGGTGTACAAAGGGAAGACGTGGGAGTAAGACGAGGGAGAGAGAGAGGGAATGATGATGATGATGATGTGAGGGCACATACCTGGTATTGGCGATAGTCTGTATGGGCGACATCTTCAAGTACTTCGGAGGCTGTTGACGTCAACAGTTGCATTGTCAATTAGTAGGCAGAGAGTAGCTGTGTAGATAGTAGGCTGGGCGCCGAGCGCCAAGTAGGAAGATAGGGCCTGGACACTCATGTTGATGGTGGCGAGAGTAATCTCTCATTGACATTGGTTTTCAGTGTTACGGTTCTTCATTGGTGTTATATTGGTGCATTTCTGCTTTCTGGACACACTGTTACTATCTGGCCTTCAATGTGATTGTGTATGCTGGTCATTGTCATCTCGCTATTGCTCATTTTCCTTGTACAAATGCTCCAGTCTATTCGTGGTGAGCAGCACGTGCTGGGAACCGGGCCCAGCGTCCCATCTAGAGTTACACAAGTCATTTGAGATACCGGGGCCATTACCCGGCCTCGGCTGAGAATCATTCTGATAAGTATTGAAGAAATTCAAGAGACTTACAGGAGAGGTTGAAAAACTATGAATGAGTACTGACCTCTTTTCGAATGCTCCAAACCCCTAGACTCCCAAACAAAACTCTCTAAAACTGTCCAACACTGTCTTATTCCCTGTCGAGCTCTCCCAGGCCTCACACCCCCACCCGGATAGGTTACAGAGCAACACGGCTCGCCCCAGCTCCGGCCAGCGTCGTCCCAACAGCAACCCTTGGTTGTCCCTTGGAAGGCCCACCCCAAAGCATCTCCAGATCTCTCTACCAGGCCTCACGCTCCTGCAATCAGTAGGTTACAGGCCAACACCCCAGCACTGGCCAGCGCCGTTCTGGCATCAAACAACCGCAGATCCATGAATGTACCAGTATCAAACAGCCTAAAGTGAGTTGCTAGAAGTCCCGAGAAACCTAAAGGATTCTGTTACCAACGCAAGATTTGCAATTTTATGTGCTCGTCTGAGTAGGCCCTGAGTTGGCATACCCATTAACTGTTGAAACATGGACCCGACTTCGGGGGGGAAAAAATAAGAAAAAAGGATGTTGGATTCAATGATGGTATTGTGAAACACCACCTGGTGGGTACCAATCCTAGACTGTGAGATGTATGATGCAGATTAAAAAAAAAAGCAATAGGAAAAAAAGTTTAGCTGTGTCAGGAAAATTGGCAAGTTATACCACATCACATCAGGAGAAAAAAGACACTGCAGTGACTGCAGCAGTTGAGAAAAGAAAAAGGGGCAGCTTGGGTTTTGAACTCTCTTCTCCTTTTTCTGTAATGAATGGAGTGGTGGCCAGGTACATTCAGAAAATGCTGGACAGCATGTAGCTGGCCGGAGGCTCACTTTTAAAGGCCAGTTGACAGCCAGGAGGAAACATAGTCACTCTTTCTGAATGTTGTGCTGGATGGCCATAGAAAAAGTGGTCCTACAGCTGAGGGCCTTGTTCCACCAACGGCCAAATGGGAGAAAGACAAAGCTGTGTGTGTATATTTCTGCCTTCTTTTTTTCTTTTTTCTTTTTGTTTTCCGTTTGCAAGGAATATAAGCAAGAGTGAAATACAGAAAACCAAGTTGCGAAATCACACAGATGTCCAAGTAGTGATGTACAAGCAGAGAGCTCAAATGCACCGAGATTCCATCCAGATAAGAGCAATACAATGAACTCACGAGCCAATGTCCAAGCCCTCAGGCCACACCAACACCGTATCCAATGTCGCTCCTACTCTGTCTGACACCCAGCGTCCAGCCTACACTACTGGCCTATCCTACTACACCAGCGTTCACGCAACAGGCTCACTTCGACTTTGAAGACCAAGGTACATGATGTCAACACCATAGCTGACCTCCCTCATGCACCAGGTATGTATCTCGTCTCTCCCCTCATCACCCCTGACTTCCCACTGTGCATTCTCAACACCCAAAGACCACCATCGCCATCCAGACCTGTGCCAGCAGCCCGGCTATGGCTGCCGTGCGCCCACTGCCCAGCAGTGCACCTCACATCCTGGCGGGCCCGTGCGCGCGACCCAGCTGGCAGCTTCGTGCAGATCACGAAGTTGCGATGCAGCAGCGTGGCCGCATTGCCTGCCTAGGCCAGAATGCCCTCCCCAGCGATGCTCACTTTCCTATATGGAAAGTGCGCTCAGCCTCTGCTGCCTCTGGTCCTGGCTGGGCGAGCATCCAGTAGCTTCCGGGCCTCAATGCCTGCGCCCAGGCCCAGTTGCAGTTGCAGACCTGGGCCCTTTACAGTTGGGCGCGTCCAGGCAGTCCATGGGCCTCCACATGTTCGCTGTGATCTCATTGGCTCACGGCCACTATGTGCCGACAATGCTGCAATCTCATTGGCCCGTGGCTGTTGTATGATGTGCTGGCCTCCGAAAGCACACGCCCAGGGCCTTAACTGTACGGGGCCCTCGCTCAACTGCCCGTCGAGGCTGCAACTTCCGCAAAGAGCCTAGAGAGGCGCACGTTGCTCTGTAACCAACTGGCGTGCTGCAACTGTCTGATA